AATTTAGGAGTCTGAATGCACATGGAAGCATACTATTTGGTCTCCTTTTCTTTTGTTGGGTTTTTTTGTTTTGTTTTTTCTTTCTTGTGGTTCCTCCCATTAGTTCTAATTTTTCTTTACATCATGACTAATGTGAAAATATGTTTAATATGAATGTATAAGTAGAGCCTAAATCAGATTGCATGCTGTCTTGGAGAGGGGGGAGGAGAGAGAGGGAGAAAAAATTTAAAACTTAAAATCTTATGGAAGTAAATGTTGAAAACCAAAAATAAATTAATTATAAAAAAATAAAAATTTAAAAAAAGAAAAGAGAGGAGAGAAAATGACGGCACTTTTGTAAAAGCCTTCTTAAGGAGTTTAGTCACAAAGGACAGAAAAGATATAGGACAATAGTTAACCAGAATGGAAAGATCAAGTGAGGGTTTTTTGTGGATAGGAGAGACATGGGCATGGAAGAAGCCAGTGTCTGCCCAAAATATTACACACAGTTTGGATAGTAGGTATTCTTCACCTACTTGTTTTTTCTTAGATAAATAGTGAAGTCAAACTCTCCTGATTTAGGAATCTCATTTACTAGACTGCAATGTACCAGGGTTTGGTGCAATTAACACGATGTTATTTACAACCAGAAGCATCTGGAGGACCTTACCATTTAAAGGAAATCCATCTTCCATTTTGAATCGACATTGGATTTCTTACATGACAGTGATGAATACCATTGGCAAATATGAAGGTCTCTTTCATGCTTTGCCTGATGTTAACAACCAGTCATCAATGAGGATTGTCTCTATTGTTATATGTTTCAAGGAATCTTGTGTGTGTGTGTATATACACACATACACACTAATTTTTTTTCCTTTGCTTTTTGGTGAGACTTGCCCAGGGTTACACAGTTAGTAAGTGTCAAGTGTCTGAGGGCAGATTTGAATCTTGCATATTTTGAATTCATGAATGGGAGACATCGTATTGAAAGACAGTCTTCAAAGTGTCATTTTGTTCTACTAAATCCAGCGGGGGGTTTTTAAAAGTCAATAACCAATAAAACAAACAGTGGAATTATGTATTTTCTACACTTTTCATTCAACTGTGTGAGGCTAAAGATGTAGTCTACTGTGGACTATCACTAGGCAAAGGTTTGCTAATACCATCACTGAAGATTCCCTTTATGCATATATAGTATTGTTCTTATTAAAATTTTGTTATAGATGATTAAATAGGCATCTATCAGCTGATAATTACCAGTGTTCTTACAGTAGCCTTTACACAGAGTAGGGGGAAATTAAGGTTAGAGTTTTTTTTTCCACTCTTTTACAAACTTCTCCTTTTTTCCAGACACTTTGAAAATCAATCCTTCAGTGACTTCACAAATGTGTTACCTCTAGCACAGCTCTCCTCTGTGTATACTTGGTCTCAGTTAGCTGTCTAATTTTCTCATCTTTGGTATCTTCAATGCCATTTCTAGCTTCTCAATAAGCCTATCCAGAACTATGATAGTAGAATTCAATTATGGCGGCTCTACTGTCCTTGATGGTAAGAATAATTTGTTTTAAAAAAAAACATGCAGCTAAATGTCCTCAGGATGGTTTAGTTTAGTTGAGTCGCTAAACAAGCTTTCTTTAAACTGGTAAAACTGGTTTTTACCCTCCACTGCTTTTCTTTCACTCTTTTCTGAAGTAAAGAAGTACTGCTCAAAATCAGTATCTATTGCATCCCATTAGCCAATGTAAGCTGCTTGGAAGGAAGAATTGTTTCACTCTTTGAATTTGTATCCCCAGTGCCTAGCACAGTGCCTGACACTCAGAAAGAGCTTAATGAATGCTCATTGATTGATCATCTCCATAAGATTTTAAAGATAAGCTCATATTTTAAACTGGCATTGCCCTTTGCCACCATACTTACCAGTTTGGCAACTAAGTTTAATGATTAGGCCCTTTATATGTTCTTTTGGTCTACTCATATGAGTACATTAAATTTAATTTACATTGGTTAAACTTTGTGAAATTTAGTAATTGATGCTAATGTACTTTTAATCATTAATATCTTATTTTTCACCAGTAACTTGTCTAAATGTGTCAGACTGAAGTTGTTTTACTTGAAAGCTATGTTTTGTTCTCATTGTATTCTTTCTTCTAGCTTTCCATTAATTTTGTTCACTGTGCTAATATTAATGGTCTAACTGTACACAGCTGATTTATAGAACGACTCACAAATCAGTAATGAGCCACTTCTTTTTCTGTTAAAATATAATCAATTTCTTTTTGGGGGGGGGGGGTAATGTCATTAGGTGTTCACAATGTCCAGAATCTTCTGAATCTTTCCTTAAAGAAAATTTTCATGAAAAAATAAGTACTCAGCCTCTCACATGTAATTTCCAACACCATCCTCATTGGTTCTCATCTTTTCATTAAATCAATCAACCAACAAGCACAAGCATAGTCACTGAAGTACCTTGCAACCTGACATATATGATCCTAAGATCCTCATTATAAGTGCCTATTATATGCCATGTACCATGTCAAGCACTGGAAATACAAAGATGAAAATGAAATGAGTATCTGAATCTTTTGTCTTAAAAAGAATCCACAAGGTAGAGGCCTGTTGAGGGTAAGGAGTCTGGCATCTGACGCAAAAGTGTTAGGTTGGGTTCTAAAGGTGAGGATTTAATGTCTAAACCTCAGGTCCTGGACTAAGCCTTGTATCATGAACATGTCTTTGAATGGCAACATATATGTTGGCTTAATTTGAAAGCTCTTATTGAGATCTTTGGAATTCTCTACCTATTCAGAGAATCACGGAATCAAAGATTATAAGACTCAGAAAAGAGCTCAGCAGTTATCAAGGCCAAACCATACCCAAAAGGACTTCCAGCTATAACATCCCTGATAAGAAATCATCCAGTATCTTTTTGAAAATCTCAATGAAGGGAGAACCATCATCACATTGGGGCAGAATCTCTTTTATTTTTATTTTTTTATTTTTGTTTTGGTGAGGCAATTGGGGTTAAGTAACTTGCTCGGGATCACACAGCTAGTATAGGATCTCTTTTAGATAGCTCTAATTCTTAGGAAGCTTCTCCTGATATCAAGCTTAAATGAATCTATTTGCAATTTCCTTTCCATCCTGCACCTGGTTGTTTCCTCTTAAGTCTAATCCCTCTTCTACCTGGAAGACCTTCAAATAACTGAAGACGGCAGTCATGTCCTCTATGTCTTCTCTTCTCCTGGTTCAACATCCCCCAATTCTTTCAACTGATTCTCATACATCATGTACCCAAGGCCCTTCATCATCTTGACTGCCCTCCATTGGATGCTCTCCAGCTTATCAATGTCTCTTTCAAACTTCGTTTTCAGAACTGAGCACAATATTCCAGATGCAGTCTGACTAGGGCAGAGTACAGACAAACTATCACTTCCTTATTCCTAGAAGTTATGCCCCTCTTAATAAAGTCCAATTACATTAACTTTAGGAGTTGCCACATCATACTTATTGCAGTCAACTAAACCCTACAGGTATTTTTTTGGACAAACCATTGTCCTAAATTCTTACCCATGCTATGATGAGGTACCATTACAAGACTCTCTGGACTTTTGTAATGAAAAATGGTAGTCAAAATACTATTACAATATTAGTAATGAAAAGAATCCTTTTATTTAGCTTTGATGCTTGAAAATATATGGCTAGCCTTCTGCAGCCTCAAGTTTCTCCCATCTCTAATGCATCCTCCACAAAGTTGTTTAAATAATGTTCCTAAAGTAGAAGTCTAATCATGCTACTCGCTTAAGTAAACTCTAACAGCTCTTTATTGCCTCTAGGATCAAATATGAACACTTCTTTAACTTTTATAGCCTTTCACAACCTGACCCCAACCTACCTTTCCAACTTTATTATACATTACCCCACTCTTCTCTTCAGTTCAGGTCCAACCAAACTGGTCTTTTTGCTGTTCTTCATATATATTTCATCCCCTGGATGGAATGGTCTTCACTGGAGCATTTTTACTGGCTATCCTCCCCACTTCGAATTCACTTCCACCTCAGCTACACTTCTTAGAATTCTTATGTCCTTCAAAATCCCACTAAGCCAATACCTACATGAAACCTTTCCTGATCCCCCCAGCTTCCAGTGCTCCCTCCAAAACAAAACAAAAAAAATTAACTCATACTTATTCATGCATACTTATATATGCTATCTCCCTCCAACAGAATGTAAGTTCCTTGAAGTCAGACATTTTTGTATTTCTATCCCCAATTCTTAATAATACCTGGAACATAGAAGGTGTAAAATAAATGCTTATTGACTGATTGACTGATTGGTTGGTTGGTTGCCTCTCCCAAAAGACTTTCCCTCCTTCTTTAAACAGTCCTAAAATAGATTAGACCCATTTGCTTGCCTCCTGCAAATTGACTAACACCCTGTCCAGACCAGAGAGTATATTCTGGAGACCACTGCCCTCAGAGATGTTTATTAATGCTATTCCTCAACTGGGTAAACAAGAACCAGGGTGTGTTGCTAAAAGCAGACCCACTGACAAATGACAGCTGACAGAGAGAAAAGAATCATAACTACAAAAGCACAAAAAGTCATTTAGGGTAGGTGCAAAAAGTCTTAAATATCTTAGTAGTCCCTGAATAACTACATACAATGAATACTTATAACAATCTACTGTAAATGATCAACCACTTCAGAGATTGGTATTTGTCCCCTATTAAGTACCAAAAATGTAAGACTGTAAGGTAGGGATCTCTAAATGGTCAATCATGGTAGATCAAATCATTATGCCCTCTCCTGAAGTCATTTCCAAGGAAGGAATCCATGGCCCAAAGCTGCCACCACAGACCACCCACTCCCGCAAATTTCATAGGCATCTCATTGAGGCTCTTGGTCATTCATCCTCCCCCCTTTTTTTATCAGATTGCCCCAACATTAACTGATCTTGAAGCTTTGGGGAAAGAAAATGCTGTTCCTCCCCAAAGGCTAGGAGGCCCCTGCTTATTCCTTACCAATAACTGCACAGTAGATTGACTGGGTCAAATCCTGCTAATAGGAGAGATGGCAGCCATTCCTTGTATTTTGCTTGTGCTTTAACTGCATGCTTTATAAACTCAGACAAATGGTTCCATGTTTCCAATGGGCAGCCTTTTTTCAAGAAGTACCGAAATATTGAAAACTTCTCATACTTCAGACAGTATGCCAAATGCATTTCATTTAGTTGAACTCCATATTTCAGAAAAATATCCACCATTCCGAAGTACCTAGAACTTCACCATAACAAAAGAAGATAATCTAGTTAGAATAATAACACCTGGGGGAAAGAAAAGGATTCTAACTACCACTGACAAAAACAAATTAAATCTTCTAACTATATGAGCTTTTGCAATAAAGATTATGCTTTTTCTCCTTTAATATAAAGTATTTTCTTAACAAGCTTACTCTTTTTTAATCCTCTCATTAATTATTGAATAATGTATTAAATTTCTAAACTCTAAAGGTCAATTGGCTTGTAGTAGGAAAGTTGAAAGACTACAGTTCCCTTTACCAACATCCTAGGTCAATGTCTCTCCCTTACTTTTGAAGTTTTCAAAATGGAAAACTAAGCAGAAAAAACTTTCAATCTAGGAACCAAGGAGAAATTTATAGTTTTAATTTTTAAATTAATTTTATTATTCAAATACTTTAAAAAAGAAAACGCAGTGCTGACTGATAAAATTAAATTCTTATACATAAAATCTTGGAGTGGATAAAGTAAATATAAAATACTGAAGTTCTGTCACATAAAACATTATAACCCTAAGAATTATTTATATAACTTTTAAATCAGTGTTTTAGGCAGCTAAGTCCCCATGGTTATATTCAAAAAGCCACCCAATCCATGTAAATTTTTTATATCTACTTCACAAAAATTCCAATTTATGCTCTTCCTCATTTAAAAGATTAAATAACACTGTCCAAACCATTAACTATTGATCATTCTCAGAGAAATTATTAAAGGGAAATATTTTACAATTCAATGGATTTAGTATAAATTAATGATAATGTGGCCATTGCTTAATTACATATAGTTTTCCATTTAAAGAATCCTACAATAAGATATGGCTTCTAAATACTCATCATCATATACCTATGCTAATTGTCCTATCTAAATCAACCATTCTGAATACAATTAACTAGGTTCTCATCTTACCCAGAGCTAAAGCAATATATGTCAATCAATCATGGCAGACATATTCTAATAGGCATGGAATAAAACTATATAATAAATCCAAGTCATCTATTCACTAGAAAGCTTATATATGTTATAGGAGACCTGACATAGCAGATTTTGGCTATTAATCAGATACCTTCGTGCACATGTGCAATCCACAAAAAATATAAGTTCATGCCTGAAGTAATTTACAACTATCTAATACTCTGAATACAGAAGCAAAAACTATATAACAAGCATAATCAGAGGGATATCTTGACAGGAACAGGGCTGGGTTGCAATAGATGATAAATGAAAATATCTTCACTATTTGGTCCTCCTAAAACACTTTTATCTGAAGTGAAATAAATTTAATCTAAATGATCATCTAGTGGCATTTGCACTTCAGCAAAGCAAAACCAGCAGCCTATTTCAAAATCCAACACTGTCCCTACCTAGGATTGATGTTCTGATGGCAAGGTTAATAAGACTAACTAACCCTTTCTAAAAGCTGTGATAGGAACATATATTCAGGTTCAACTTACTACAACACCAGAAATGTAGCACTGACTACACAGCTATATGAACTACTGTAAATATCTTTCGTTTAAATGTCATGAAAGCTGATCATTTCATGAAACACTCAGATTAGCAAAATTAATCAAAAGACAAACACTAGGCAATTTTTTTTCCTTAACTGAACCTGTGAATTAATCAGTATAGGGAGTGCCTGCTCAGTAACTTACTCTACCAATGCAGATTGGCACATTCTCTGCAACTAATGGTCTTAGAGAGTTGCCTGGGACACTCATAAATCAAGGGGAATAGTCAGGGTTACAGAGCCAGTATGAGTAAAAAGCAGGACTTGGATCCAGATCTTCCAGACTCTGAAATAAGCTCTGTATCCACTTTGACACATGGCTTCTCAGACAGACGATACATTATAATATTCATATTTTCACTCATCAGGCATACTAAAATGATACCACTGAAGGCCTATGAAACATAATCAAGATCATTGATGATGGATTGTCAGTTACAGAATTAACTTTTCCAATTAATCCTAAATTAAATACTTTAATAATAACGGACAAATTACCCAAACTCTCAGTTTCAGTTTTTCTGTAAAAAGAGTATAATCATTCTTGTACTGTCTCATGGAGTTGTATCATTTTGTATTCAGTCTTTCTTTTCTCCACAAAAAACAAACAAACAAACAAACAAAAACCCAACCCTTTAATAGACAGATGCTAAGAAAAGCAAGCCAATTCCAGAAAAAATAAGAGTTGGCAATCAGAGGTAGACTCCTGATCTGATTTAGGTTCTGTTTTCTTCTTATAACATGAACCTTTGCCTACAAGAGTGGAAAATAAGTATCATCTAAATTTTAATTTTAAAAAATCAATTTCAGCCATCTTCAACCTTTACAAAATAATAGACAGAAATGGACAGTTAGTTATTATTCTGAACATCAACAATTCACCCAAATCATGTGAAGCTGAGGCAGAGCATATATACGAAGTATCAGTCTAGGGACTCATATAAGAGTATTTCTTTTACATATAGAGAGAATGAAATTAACTCACTAAAAGAGACTAAAATAATATAAGCTGTTCAGAGAATAAGTAGGATCAAGATACTCAATAAAATTAAAACGTGGCTAACGAGGCAAGAGAAGAATCTTGGGTTTCTGTTTGTTTGCTTTTAAAAGGAACAATGAATAGATCTTGCTCTTAGAATTATATGTTGCCATGTGTGTCTACATTTTCCACTTCACAGGGAGGCCAAGATATAATTCCCAAAGAGACAGCATTGAATTTTGGGAGGAACCACATAAATCCTATTTAATAAAAAAAAATTCAATATTAAAAAAACAAGGTTTTTTTGAAAAGGAGAAACAGAAAAAGGGCAAAATGGTCATTTTGGATGGAGCACAAAATATAGGGCTTAGAATTATTTAGTCAGCTAGGTGGTGGTGTGGATAAAGCGCTGAGACTGGAGTCAGGAAGACCTGAGTTCAAAATTGGCCTCGGATACTTACTAGCTGTGTGACCCTGAGCAAGTCCTTAATCTCTGTTTGCCTCAGTTCCCCTAACTGTAAAATGGGTATAATAAAAACACCTACCTCTCAGGATTGTTGTGAAGACCAAAAGAGATAATAATTGTAAACGATTTAGTATGGTGCCTGGCACTTATTAGATTCTATATAAATGCTTATCCCCTTCCCTAGTCAAAACCCTTCCCTTTTACAGATGAGGAAACTCAAGTCTAGCAGCGTGAAGGACATCATCATCTGTGGCACAGCTAACATAGGGACCCAAGTGCTGTGATTCCCCAGAGTGAGATGTTTCCATTCCATGATCTTCAGTATTTTATGTTAAAAAGGTTGTTTTGATTGAACCCCCAGGGCCTAGTGCAGTGTCTGGCACATAGTAGGCACTCAATAAAAGCTTTGTGAAACGAACTGAATGCAATACTCAATTAACCAGTCATATACCAAAATGCTGCTGAAATGCATAATGCTGGTCATTCAATAAGCTATATTAAATGAAAAATTGCTTAAATAACTTTCAGCTGCTCCCCATACAGGACATCTGATCTCACACCACCAAATCTCCTGAAATTGCTTTTTAGTAACTTTACTGGTATGCATATTAGAAATTCTTAGAAAAGTTAAATTTTTTATTGTTTTTTTTAGTAATTTATTTATTTTTAGTTTTCAACATTCACTTCCATAAGATTTTGAGTTTTGAATTTTCTCCTCTCCTCCTCCCCCCTCCCCAAGATGGTGTACAATGTGATATAGGCTCTACTTATACATTCATATTAAGTATATTTTCCCATTAGTCATGATATAAAAAAGAATTAAAACTGATGGAAGGAACCAGGAGAATGAAGCAATAAAACAAAAAAACTAAAGAAAAGGAGACCAAATATAAGTTTAGGCTTCTATATGCATTCAGACTCCATAGTTCTTTCTTTGGGTGTAGATAGCATTTTCCATTGTGAGTCTTTTGGAGTTGTGAAAAGTTAAATATTTTTTTGTTTGTTTGTTTTTTAGTGAGACAATCAGGGTTAAGTGACTTGCCCAGGGTCATATAGTTAGCAAGTGTCAAGTGTCTGAGGTCAAATTTGAACTCAGGTCCTCCTGACACCAAGGCTGGAGCTCTATCCACTGCACCACCTAGCTGTGCCCAAAAAGTTAAATTTTTTAAAAATAATTTTAAAGAATTAATTTTTAGAAAGCAGAAAAATTAAAATTTTTACAAATAATTAAAATATTTTAAAGGTAGAAACTGTTTTTTAGTTATTTGCATGTATGTTAGAAAGTAAGAAAAATAGAAAGCAGAAAAATTAGAACTTTTTTTAAAATACCATACTTCACACATAATCATCACAGATTTTATGCCAATTTTTGCCAAAAAGTGGGGTGCAACCATTATGTGAAGCTTTTTTTAAAAAGCGTGCTGGTATTACTTAAAAATCATTTATTACTAAACTATCTTTGGTGCAAGATTAGGATGCATGGAATACTTGTAAATATATGTCAAAATTGAATACTGACAACGCGTGTGAGCTGAGAACTCTAAGCTCGCTGCTAGCAATGCAGGAGAGATAAATACATATCCATATGCCACTGGTGAATACTTTGCTGCTCTGTTTACCCTTTAAGTGGCATGAGGAACAGAATTATACTATGCAATATTATTCGATGAAAGGTTACAAACCAATTTTGGACTGAAAAACATGGTGTGACAATTATGTGGTGAAATATGGTAATTTAAGAAAATAGAAATTGCTTTTTAATTATTTACTTGTGTGTGTATGTTAGAAAGTAAAAAAAGGAGAAAACACCATGAAGGCAGGGACTACTTCATTTTTGTCTTTATATCACCAACATCTAGCATAATGCCTCAGACATAGCAGCTACTTAATAAATGTTTAATTGAACCAAAACCAAAAATCAAACATTAACAGGCAATATCTATCACACAACACTATGGTAAAATAAAACCCATCTTTTCTGGGTTTGTTTATTTTTTGTTTTCTTTTTTTGGGGGGGTAGGTGGGAGGCAT